CATAGTTCCTTGATCTCATTCATAAATGAACCGCTTTATTCAATGATTGAAAGGGATATGGAAATGGATGAGTAAGAGGAAGAATCACAAGCTGGATATAGACTCGAAATGCATTTTCTCCACTATACACTACTTCAAATAGAGCATCACTCGCATTCAACATTGCAATGATCGTTTCGATATCGTATGTACCTCGTAGAATCGATAGAGTATGGAGACTGGATTCAAATACACTCATAACTTGTATCCATTGTGGTAATTGAGAATGTAGTATTAATCATGGTGTTCAGAATGGCAATGATTTCACTCAATGTATAATAACCAGGCGAGATCGTTATCTCTTCACCATTGGTGTTTGTCACCACATTGGTTGAGTCCACATTATTGAACATGACTTGATTGGGTTTGAATAGAACAGTCATGGAAGTGATAAATGGATTTCTGAACTTGTAAGGATTGATCCAATCGAATAAACCATTGATAGGTGAATCTTGTATGAGAATGGAATAATGCATGTTCTCTCTATACTAAAGACACTTATGACTTGCACGGACAACAATAGATGGATTAGTGATGACAATATACACACATATTGGCTTTCGGTCATTATAAATAAGCAAACAAACATGTAAATACAAGAGAAATAACAATAATTCACCTTAGCTAGGTATGTCTACTACTTTCTTGCACCTGGATATTATTGACCACATAATCGGCTAGTCAACCCAGGAACGACAGTTGAGGACTCAGAGTCAGTTGGTCGATTCCAACGACCAATAAAGGGTTTGTATTTGTCGTCACGCCGCGTTTTGTTCAAATCAAACGGCCACCGGGTTTTGCGTACAAAGCGCCATTCCCTTACTTCTTTCCATCATTCCATTTGTGCAAATAAAATGAAAATCTAGCATTATGCCTGCTCATACTTGAATGAGCTTTTTACCATAAAACCCATCAATTGAATAGTAGCTTACAGATGTATTCTATTGTGTGTCCGCATGATAATACTTTGACTATTGTTTAGTAATACCCTTTCACAGTAATACTAGTCTTCTTTTGATTGACTGAAATTAAGAACAATGAGTGATATCTTTCATTCCAAATACTCACTCTAGAATTCCAGTTGTTGATATTGTTTATGTTATCTATCTTCGCTAATTGCAATAAAAATGGTAGTTGATTACTGTCTCCAATCATAATTACAGTGAAGTCTCACAACTGGGATAAGTGTGTTTATCATTAGCATAGAGTCCATTCTTGTTATCCTCCACTTTATCATTATCAACATTGCTGATATTGTTATTTGTAGTAATATTAGTTTTATTCATCCTTGTTGATTATATAGTAAATACCATGAAAGACTACACAGATTTGAATTATATACCAACATTTGGATATTTCAATCCTTAGTCTCAATACTATGCATATTATGTAATGATTATGATTGATTTACAAATAGGAAAAGCCTCTTGGGCTGTTAGTCATAGATTGATGATACTGAGCTAAAGTTAACGATAATCGAGTATTTAGGTATTCACAAATTTGTAAGAATATCGTATCCATTATGTCACCAATGAATCATACATGAAGAATAAAGCTTTGTTAACATCTGAGTTGTTCAATGGATGACTGTAATTGCATATATGGGTTGTAATGTGTTGCTGTTCAGATTTCTTTTTTCAATAGTATGAGAAATGATGGAAGATAAGAAATCTTTGCTGATCCTTCGACTCATATCCCCACCACTTCAGAGAATAGGGATGGAATAGTTCTTATCTAGATATAAAACCTCCTTATTCAGATAGAATAGTTAATCCATGTTTCTGAAAGAATACAAGAATTCCTACACTTCTTCATCCTAATTGGCTTGCTATCGATTCAACAAACATTCCATTCATTGCCAGACTAATAGATTCATTCACTGCGACTTTTGAATCGCTTCCATCATCGGCTTCATTATCTTCTGCTTTTCCTCCTTGATTTGTTCCTCGCCCATCTGCTTGCGCATCTTCCTCACTTCCTCCTGCATATCGTCCAGAAGTCCCAGTTCCACATCCACCACAAAATCCGACAGCACATCCGCGTTGATAATCGCAGCACAATTCTCATACACATTCTGTGCATGCGTATTCGGAACCACATGCCCGTTCTACTCATCACTCCCTCCCTCTCTCCACACAATATTCATTCCCGGAGAATGCACGATTCCCTCAATCATCCCCTTGCAATTCCCCTCCACATCGAACGCCCCTCCGCCCACCATTCCGCCAGGCAGAACCACGCTCGATGTCACCATCGACCGTCCGTCCTGGATGTGAAGCGCGCGGCCTTCGCTCGTCTGCTCGTCATCCACACAAACAAACACAACAAAAGGAATTAGGATTGACACATCGCGGCCTTCTGCGTCTTCGCGCGCTTCTCGTCGATGTCCGGCCAACAAAATCGGCTTGAATTCAGTCCGTCTCAACGTTCAAACTTCTCCTTTCTTTGGCGAAGTTTCGCTTAGTTGAAGACCGTGGACCGCGTTGTAGGGCTCGTTTTCTTCGCGGAGACGACGAATCGAGGAGCTGTGCAGCTCGACGCGGGATGTCGCTTGGGAGAGAAGCGCGTCGACTTCTTCCAGAGAGTTGGGACGCGGTTGGGATTGGGGCGGTTTGGAGGGAGACGGATCCATCCCATACATTTTGAGGGTCTCGAGGGCTTCTTCTTCCTTGTGGAGGTGGAAACAGCACAAATCGCTATGCGAATCACCCGAACAATACAGAGACCTACCGATAATTGTGGGCAATCACCTTGTTGTTCACACCTACGCGATTTGTTATATTTCCGTTCATCTATTTCTCACACAGCTATAAAATAGCGCACGTCTCGGAACTCCGCTGTTAAAATCACATTGTCTTCAGTTACATACTGCAACCATGGATACGAAGAATCTACACCATGAATTGAACAATATTAAAATACCTGGAAAGTAGGATTTGAACAAGTAGGGAGCCACGACATGAAACGGGCATACAAAATGATATTTGTAATCATACTGTTTGCTTGCTTTAAATGGGACACAGGAAGACATCGCTAGTAACTCAAAACGATCCATTCCCTATTTTCATTATTCACTCTCACAATATTTTACTTTTGCTGGTACACGATACCATGACGTTACTGTAATTACACTTTTCTGAGCACTCTGCTTGATCGCGTTGAACATCCTTCAATTTTGTGATATGACGTCACTTGAATATCTGTAATACGACGCACGCACAAGAAAAAACAGATTGGGGGATTCAATCGTTTTTTCTAAAATTTCCTTCCACTTTTGTCATTCCAAAAATAGTACTGGGTACCACTTTTCCCTTTTTCTGTGTGTCATACTTTGTGTTTGGTTTTCCCCTCATGAGCGCAGAGGCGCAACTTAGCGGTGATAACTCCATTACCGTTAGTACTGAAGACGAGAGAATGGAGTATATGACTTCTAGTGATTCACAAGACGCACTATCTATTCCTTCAGATTCTGCAACATGTATGAAATTGAATACTCTGGTGTAACAACTAGCCTGCAGCTCTCCGAAGTCAAAAGAAGGAGGCGAATCAATCTTTTCTTTTATGATGCATCGAAAGCGAGACAAACGCTCCTTTCGAGAGAGATACACCCGTTTTATGAAGGAACTAAGCTCCAAACAAACTGTCGAAGTTGTGACTCCTACACTCTCCTGGAGAGTTTCAACAAATAGTAGCAAGTCCGCTCCGAATGTTTATGTGGCCAAAGTCCTCTACCATCCCTCCATTCATGGTTATTCGCCTCTGCTTTCAGGAATTTCTTATAATCGTAAACTCGCTTATGTTCCTAAAGCATCTGTGTATCAAGGGAGTGTGGTTTCTCAGCCTCTGCCCATTTCCCAATTCTAACTCACTGGTTTTATTACTGTATTGTGTCTATGTGTTCTGTTTGTCTCAAACACGCTCTAAACCAAACTACACAAGCAAAATCGCGTTGATGCATCCATCGTTCTCCGGATTGTTCGTTACCTGCGCGTACTTGCCTATCCCTCAGTCCTTCCTTCCTTCCATACCCCATACGACCTTTCCCGACTCCGTCACCAATCCCAACTCGCTCACATTCACCTCGATGATCGTTCCCTTCGTGATCACTCCCAGCTCGGTGTACAATTTGCTCTGCGGATTCTTCTTCACTCCGATAATATCCAAATAGAACGTTGTCTTCAATTCGGGGTGAGTAACGTGCGCTTTCTTGAACCGAAGTCCTGTCGGACGAACGAAGCGCTCGTACTTTGGAGGCTTCCGCGTGAAGCCCTCGCCCACGAACGTCACTTTCGTGATCATTCGCTTCCACTGCTTCTGCTTCCGTTTTCCTGTCGAGAGAACGCGGAACATCTCCGCATCGGCGATCGGGTTCACCTTCGGAACCGGCACCGTCCACTTTCCAGCCTTCTCCTTACGCTTTTGCTTCACTGTGTTGCTCAGAATCTTTGACCGAGACACTCCTTCACGATCCAGAAGGTAGGCAGGAAGAGCTCCCTCGGGAGTGGCGTCCGTAGTGGCGTGCTTGTTCGAACGCTCCTCGTGCATCTTGATTCTACGTCCTACCCATTCCCCACCACTTACTCTTTACGCATGGCCGCCTTCTCCTTGTATCGTTGAGCACTGTGCAGAATTCCCTTAATTCCATGCACTTTCTTTGCGTATTTTGCCTTTTCGTGACCTGCTCGTGCTTCCTTCTTTCTCCTAGCAAAATCAACAATATGAAATGAAATCCCACTTTCTCTCATAGTAATCAAAACGAACTCCGTGTCGTTTCTGATGTAGCTCAATAAACTCGTTCTGGGGCTACAGAAATCAAAGCAGATACAACAAAACGCACCATATTGATTCGTCCTAAAAGCGAGGAGTTCTATTGATTATTCTTTCGAATATAGCCAAACAAAAAGACGGGCGTTTCATCGAATCACTCTCACACTTTTCTTTTCTTTTTAAAAACAAACAACTCACAACTTTTTCTCATAGAATGCAAGGTAGCATTCCGAAATTGGAGCATCTGCAGCCAGAACAACCTTCGAATCGTTGCACAACACCCACTCTTTCACACCTTCTTCGCGATAGGCAGCTACATAATGCCCGAAATCAGCTTTGTCTCCACGATGCAGACACACACTTGCCAATTTATACCATTTTTTCTCAGTTCTACAAATCAGCACTCACGCCCAACAGCTGCGACATATTCAATTCCGGGTCGAGACACCTCGCCACTGCGATTTCCTCATCGATTTCCACAGCACTCTACACACAAAACACCATGATGGAGGGAAACAGTATTCTTTCGAATGGCGAATGTCTGCGGGTCGACAATGAACCGATTGATTCGAACACACAACACCGAGGGGAGTTCATCGATCACCATCGTTCGTGTCCACATCGATTCTGCCATTCAGCCTTTTCTCCATTTCTACTTCCATTGCAGCCAGTACACTGCAATTCGACCTGTTCTCCCTCCAAGCTCGCCGTTATCAGCTGTGCCAGCGATTCGTTCTGCTCCGCAATCTGAACGTTCAGCGCGATTTCTTCGTCCTGCGGACCGTTCGATCGCGCTCCGCACGTTTCGCACTGCTCTCCAATCGCTCCCCTCCCCTACCTTCATGCTGTAATGAAAGGGAATGCGGAACAATCTGCGTATCCACGCCGCGTCGCCCAACGCGTCCAAAAACACCGTCAAAAACTCGAAGCAATCTGCGATTCATTGCGTGTTTCGTTCCGAACCCTGCTGCTGTGTGTTGTTAAAATCCGGCGCTACGCCGCCGATCGCCTGCTTCAGCAGCCTGGGCTGCACGTGCTTCCCTGCCGCGCCGTTGCGCATTTCCTGAGCGACTTTGGAGAACTGGCAGAGAAGACAGCTGGAAGGAAGAGGGTTGGTGCAGTATTGGAAGTGCGTGCTCCAATAAGCGTTCTGGAGCAGCCGGTTCACCGAGCGGAAGTGCAGAAGGCACTGGAGAATGGCGTTCAGATAGCAACTATTTCCGAGATTGTCGAGTCCGCAAGCGGACGGCGTGGCTGCAAGCGGGTAGGGATCGCCCTGAGGATCGTTCTAGTGAATGGCGGAGTGTGTGGAGAGTACCATGGAGAAATCGAACTCCGTGTTCACGAAAAGATTCATTTCCAGCAGCGATTTTTCGTGCTGCGAGCTCGGTAGACCGACAAGCTTCCCGTTTGCCAGCACGCCGAACGCGGTGAGGACGGAGTGGATGGACGGCAGCAGCACATCGCCGTAGTTGCAAGCCGGATCGTCATCGCACGCGTAGCAATGCACATCTGCGTGATTCTAATCGCTAGAAAGCCGCAGCGACGCTCACTTCCTGGATCGAAGCGACCTTCACCACCAGACAATGCCCTGTTTTCCGGAAATGCTCGATCGCGTGGCCATTTCCCGGCATTTCCTCCGTCGCGTTCCACTGCCGTCTTCCGCAATGGAACGTTCCGCACTCTAAACACAGCCACAGATTCCGCGCCAACTCGCAGTCTTCGCATCGCATCGTCTCTGTCCCTCAGCGTTCCCAGCGATTCTCACTCAGATCGACGTGTGGACAGGGATCGGGGCGTTGATAGGCCTCGCAGTGCGGACATGGCTTCGCGTTCTCCGCCTCCCATTGACTCAGCTCTTTTTCTTTCTCGCCAGACGCGCTCAACAAGATCCGCTCCCCGATTTCACGCACCTGTGTGTCACAAACAGGATCAAACACAACGAAGTCTGGCGCTGGCATCGTAAGATCGCAAGCCAGACACACGACTTGCATGTCCGTTTCGTAGATCGGAGAGGGGGGCAAAGCGCCTCCTTCCACGCCGATTGCGAGCTTCGTGAGTTTTTCTGGGCAGGAATCGCCGTTTTCTGCGGATGTGGAGGCGGGAGCAGGGGAAGGGAGTTCATGACGGAAAAGACGAAGATAGAGCGGATGGCCCGATTTTTTGAAGTGGAAGCGGGAGTGTTCTGCAGAACCCGTGCAGAATCCCTGGTAGCAGGTAAGACAGACGTCGATTCCTTTGTTTTGATCCTATGAGATAAAAAAAGAGAAGAGGGAGAATGCTGTACCCATTTGGAAAAACAATAGACACATTCTTCCTTGTACACAAGAGTGGATGAAGTCAATGGTTTGATCTGCGTGTAAGAATGGAAATGATGGGGCGCATACACCCTCAGCAAAGTGATTGCAGTTGGCAGGAGTATTCACAAGTCCACTCAGGTTATTATCATCTGTCTCTGTGATTAGCTCGTTTACCAGTGGAGCTCCTCCGCTACACCATAAAAATGCTGGACGAGGCATACTTATCAAAAAACAACGAAACCGCTACAAAATCAATTTCTCATTGTGCTATCTTACCTCCTTCGATATTCCAGTCACAGCATTGGAGATACGCAACAGCAATATCCATCGTACATCCACACATCCCACAAAAGTTACAAGCAACCTCGTTCTGAGATTCGTTCATTGGAATAAGTTAAGAAGAAAACCGAGAAGGGTCGAAGAAAACTCTGGTTGTTTTGTGAGTTGAATAGTGAAATGAAGCTGATGATGATGATGGTAGTAATGATGAGTGCAATATGGAAAACACTCTTCAAACAGGGAAAATAAAACTTCTACTTGAGAATCGCATCTTCATTGTTTCCGTATTCTAATGATCCATAGAATAACCGAATAGTATTTCCCATTGCTAATATTTCAAAGAATGAATCTTTGAACGTGAATTCTTGATAAATATAGACTATTACTATACGTGTGGAACTGCAAAAACAAAAGTTTGCAAAAAACTATCCGTGCTATCTTTTTTGTTGCTCATCGTATGTTTCTGCAAAAAAGAGTGGTACTTGTGTAGTTTATCCCACTGTTTGAGTGAAAGTTTGAACCCAATGGATTTACGAGTGGGATACAATTATCGACTAGGTAGGAAAATAGGAGGCGGTGCATTTGGCGACATTTACATCGGTACGGACATTTCTTCTTGTAGTTTGCTCTGTCTTGTATTTGATTGCATAGGTGAGGAAGTGGCCATCAAATTGGAGTCAGTAACATCGAAAAACCCGCAACTGGGTTTTGAGTATAAAGTATATCGACTCTTAAAGGGAGGAATTGGTATTCCAAGCGTGTACTATTACGGAGTGGAAGGAACTTTTAATGTGATGGTAATGGAGCTTCTTGGACCGAGTTTGGAGGACTTGTTCAACTATTGTAACAGACGATTCACACTGAAAACAGTTTGCATGTTAGCTCAGGAAATGCTGCTCCGAATCGAGTTTCTGCACTCCAAGTTGTTTATTCACCGCGACATGAAGCCTGACAATTTTGTGATTGGTTTGGGGAAGAAAGCAAACATCATCCACCTCATCGATTTTGGCTTGAGTAAACGGTACCGAAACCCCATCACCAAAGCTCACATTCCGTTTTCCACTTCTTTCTCTCAACTAACATCCAGCTATCGCGAGAACAAAAGTCTGACAGGAACGCCTCGCTACGCCTCGCTAGGCAATCATTTAGGCATGGAGCAAAGTCGCCGCGACGATTTGGAATCGCTCGGCTACATCTTCCTCTACTTCCTCAAAGGTAAACTCCCCTGGCAAGGCCTTCGCGCCGAAACCAAAAAGGAAAAATACTCCAAAATCATGGAGCTCAAAGTCCAAGTCGCCTTTCCTCTTGCGTTTCCCTTAGCTCTCCGTCGCCGATCTCTGCGAAGGCTATCCCGACGAGCTCAAAGTGTACCTGGAATACTGTCGCGCGCTGCGCTTCGACGACTGTCCCGACTACGCGTATCTTCGCCGCCTGTTCCAAGACCTCATGAAGCGGAAAGTAAGCGAGCGCTCATCGCGTAATCCAAGCAAATCCCCAACGACGGCGTGTATGATTGGATGGACGAATCGCTGGCGCACAATCCCGCGGTTCTCCCGAAGCACTGCATCGACAGTTCGGGGCATCTGCGACGCGATCTGCTGCGTCCCGCGCCGCTGAGTTACCGCGTAAATCGATTGGTGGCGGGTGAATGCGAGGCGTGGCGATGAGAAATAGACGCGGAGGAGGCGAGCGGAGCGGTAGGGAAGCTGACGCCGTCGAGTTCGGCGCATTCGTGGGGAGTGGAGAGGCGTGGTGAGTAGAATGAGGCGTGCGGAGGAGGAAGGAAGAGAAGCGGAGAAGACGAGCGGAGGCGAAGAGGAGAAAAAACGCGAGGCGAGGAGTGGAGTGTTTGGAGAGAATGCGAAGAAGGAGATGGAGGGGAAGGGAAAGAACGTGGGGACGAGTTCCGGTCCTTTGGATGCGGGCAATGCGGGCAATGCGATGAAGGGAGAAGAGGCGGGGAAGGCGGGGAAGGCTCCCGATGGAACCATGCAGAACAAGGCGGGCGGAGCACGAATGGGAACGTTTCGACGCCTGTGGCATTTTTAGTCAATTCGTAGCTGGATCTTTTTGAGTGTTTGTTGTGAAATAGCAAAAAGAGCAATTGGATGAATGAATCTGGGAACAAACAAACAAACGAACAAATGAATGAATGAATGAATGAACGTATAGTTCTCCGATAAATGTGGGAGCAAAAAAGAAAACAAATAGTTCTCCAATAAATGTGGAAACAAACAATCAATCTAATAAACTCATTCACTACACAACACACATCCTTCCAACCCTTCCTCTTCATCGCTTAAAAGGCAGCGGAATGCCCAGCTCTTCCTCCGTCTCCAATCCGATCATCTCCATCACTTCGCGATCCCCTTTGTCCATCCCCTCCGCCATGCTGCCGATCACTTCACGGCATTGGCTTCGCCGCTGTCTCCAGATTTTCTCAGCACGCGCAATCTCCGATCGAAGATTGGCGAGTTCTGCAGGATCAATCACATCGGCTCTGCGATTCACTCCACAATCCGATCCATTACGACTGCAAGCTGGCCACACGCTCTTCCATTCGCTTGATATTAGCGGTCATCTCGGCGATTCCCTTCTCCAACTCGGCTTCACTCAGCGCGGAATCCAGTTCTTTCAGTTCTACTCTTCAATCATTGCGAGGAACAAACCATTCTTTAACATTCCCACCTCGCTTTGGAGAGACTTTTCCTCTTCTTCCAGAGCGCTTATCTCTTGATCCATCTTTTGGAATTCGGCTTCATCAATCTCGGGGAATTGGCTTTGATCTGCAAAATACACTTTGCTTTTTCCGTATTCCTTCTCGACGATTTTGCCACTACAAATGAG